CAACCCCCCCCCCCCCCCCTTTTTTTTTTTTTTTTTTTTTTTTTAACTGAGACTGCTGGTTCTTGAGTATTCCCAGTTCCTTATTCTGGACTGCAGTTCCTCATTCTAAAGCCGAAACAGTGTACTCATTACTGGAATCAAATGGAACTTCTTTTCACTACTTAGTTAATTTTATTAGTAGAACTACAATTTGCTGGTCTCTTACCTTTGGAGCTAACCAAGTAGCAGTTTCTGTCTACAAGGAAGTATTAATAATAAACTCCAAAAAATGCTTCAGCACTTCATCATTAGCTTTCATTAGCCAAGAGGGACAGAAATTAGTTGACACATCCCATAATGCATATTCCTGAGAGCGAAACAAACTTTATAAAGACGCTTCATAGACTCCAGATATAGGGTTGGTATCATGAAGAGGGCTCAAATTCTAACCAGTCTATTTTATCCTCTGAAGAGTTGCTGTTGGATTGACAGTTTTAAATCACCTTGAATAACTAATTTCTTACCGCATGAAAAGTGCTTGATCATTTACTCAGAATACTGTAGTGTAGGGGTGAGGAAGCCTTTCCATAGCTGCAAAGGCAAATCTTGTATTAGGATTTGGTGAAAGTAAGTGGTATGACTTAAATACAAAACATCAATGTGCCAGAAGTGAAAATCTCAGTTTTTCTTTTAAATTTATCTTTCCTTAATGCAGTGGTTAAAGGACTAGACTAGACTATGGAGCACTGCATTCATTTCTCTCTGCTACTGGCTTCATATGTGAGCTTGGCAAAGCATACCTAAGAATGTGGCAGTTCTAGTTTAATTTGTTGGGTTCTATGTTTCTTTTAAGGATGTCTATTCAAGACTTCTGCAGTTGGAGTGATGTGGTCCCCCAGTCCTCTATTGTAGCTTATACAGGTACAGGCTTATACAGGGTTTTTTGGGGGGAAATAACCCCCAAACCTTGGTTATTCTGGGAGGACAGATTTTTGGAGAAAGGTGTTGAGAAGCCATTGTGTTTATAGTCAAACTGTATCACACACCAAACAATCATTAGATCTGTTGAAATATATGGATTTCACAGGGCTCTAAGAAATGATAACGTTTCAGTAGGCTGTGGGGTGGACAGCTGGATTAAATAGCTTGAGCTGACAGGAATGGCCTCAGAATAAAGGAGGCATTTGCACAAGGGAATAAACGGTTGCCTGTCAAAACTGAGACTAAATTGGACTTGAGATGGAAGATAGCTGGATTTTGTATATAGCTAGTTCAAGTTAATCCTGAAGAGTAAGAACTACATGTATGTGGTCATCCAGAATACTCAATTTCTAATATGTTAGAGAGCAACTGACGTTCCTGTTAGGATAGCCCACACAATTGCTTTGTGTAAAGTCTAGGGGATAAACTTTCAACTCTGGTCTTAATTAAGAGATGCTTGCTTTTTAAGGTCACACATAGCTTGCTAAGCCTTCCTTGATGTCCAAACAGGTCAGAATACTGAAGGACCTTTGTACAGCTGTCTGTCATTGAATGTAGCTAGTGTAGCTAATTTGCTGGAGGAGTTTATTTTTTCTTTTCCAAGGACCTCTGCCCTGGTGTTGGAAACTTGAATTCAGTTTTTGCAAAGCCTGAATATTAATAAACTTGAATGTTTGGCAAAAAGGCACCTTCTGCTGAGGGAGAAGTACTCGAGTTTTAAAAATATAGCAGTAGGAGGGCAGATAGAAGAACAAGAACAGCTTATGTAGCTTTAAAAAAGAAAGAGAAAAAAAAAACTTGAGGAGGTGGCAGAAAAAAATACTTTGCTCTGGCTGAGCTTCTGAGCATACCAAATACATTTTCTTCCTCCTGGATGATAGCTGAAGTGGTAGGCCCTAGCTTAATTTTAGAAAGGACTTTCTGAAGGAAGGACAACCAGAGAAGAGAAATAAGTTACTAGTGCCTGTCTTTTGCTTACAGTGCTGATCTTTGGCCACTTTCAGGAACATATTCTTGATTCTAACTTGTAGAATTTATATTTTTAAAGGAAACTGTTTATATGAAATATTTAGAAATAAAAATATCTGTAATAGAGGAATCTTGGAGGCAGATGTGATTTGTGTGGTGTGCCTGTATTGCTGACATGTAACCTTTCCTTGTTTAAAAAAAATAGATTTTTGTATCAGAGGACAAGACATCAGCTTCTCGAGATGTAGACAACTTCTACAACTTTGCTGACATGCAGATGGGAATGTGAAGTATAATATCCAACCTGTCTCCCTACTTGGATGTCATTTAACTATAACACTGCATCACTAGTAATGTTTTCCTAATCTGATGATTTTTTTTTTGTATAGCATGTTTTTATACAAGAATTGGTAAATTTCAATACTGTAACATGAATTACAGTAAACATTGTAGGTTCACATGTACATTTAGTACCTGAAAACAATGTCAGAAGCAACAGTTTTCTAGTAATACATGTGGAGTTTTTGTTTGTTTTTTTTCTAAGTGAATTCTTAACTGGAACTTTATTGACACATGAGCATTCCTTGTAAATCATCTTCTACTTGTATGGTTTTTAGTATGCAGGTGTAATGCAGAACCAAATGTGATATATTGTTAAATGGAACTTTACTGAAGCCCACTGTTGCAAATAATGTATGTAAATGGTGCATTGTAAACTCTACAGTTTATATATTTTCCATGCCCCCCCATGTTAAATTTTGTTTTAATCACGAAAAAGTAGTTGCTGATCTTATTTGGGGTTTTAATCTGGAACTTTCTCTGTGAAGTGTGCTTTGCTCCAGTCTCTTCTTTGTATGTGGAAACAATGTTCCAGTGCTGTATACCAAGTGGACTAACCAGTAGTATGGTAGATTTTGCAAAACCTGACCTTTTATATTCTAAAACATGAGTCTTGGAGCTGAGATGCAGGTACTTGGTGTCCACTGGAGACATATCTAGAGGAGTTGAAGTAATTCTTGGATCACAGGAGGGGAGATTAGTGTAGGGGATGTCTCTGCTTTTCCTTGTATCCCAGTTACTATAATGGATTTCTGGCAGCTTCTGTAGTCAATTACTGGGACTGCAGAACAGCCTAGAGTAGGGGAAGTGGTTTAAAGTCGTATTCTTTGTATGTTGACAGCAGAATCATAGGTACAAGGAGAAGCATCACTGAATTATTAGTTGTAGGCAGTTGTGCAGTTTTAATCTTGTAGAGATTCAAATTCACATTGGAGTTTCACATGCCCTCCATGTCGTATGTGGTATAAATTATTGTACTAATATTGTGTGCAGAGATGCAAAACCACAACTTTTTAAAAGCAAATACATGTACCAGCAAGCCAGTGTTGTGTGCTAACTTCATAAAAAAAGAAAATCTCATTGCTAGGTGACCAAACTGTATCAAAAAGACTCTGATAGTTGGACTAAAAGTAATTGTTCGGGATAGTGGGTCCCTGCTGCCTCAGCCTCTCTATGCCAAAGATTGCTTAATGAGATCACTCTTGCTTTTTTTTCCTTGGGATTGGTCTGTGTAAGTGTTTGCTGTTTTCCTTAGTTGGTGTAGAGAGGCAATATGTGGGTCCTGAACCCTGCAATGTGTGCTGTGGCTAGACTAAGGCATGCCCTGGATCTAAATTAATACAGATAACGTGCCCTTAAAGATTGAAAGGAAAAGCACTTGCTCCATCTCCATAGTAGCAGTTTTTACTTTGTATTATTATTATTAGTTTTTTACTGCTTTGCAAAACATTACATGTGCTGAAGATCAGATTTTTCAATTTTTGGTTAGTCTCTAATGCAGGAGAGCACCTACTAACGTAAAGCTATATTTATGTGGGAGTTCTGGAGGGACTGTGAGGTGGGAAGGAAAAACATACTCATAAGTTGCGTTCGTTATGTCTTCAGAATTCATACAAATGTATGAGTCTCTCCCTAACCTCAGCACTACACTTTAGAAATCCACCCAGTAAACTTCAGAAGTCTTTATGTAACTTTTTGTAAATGCTTCTCAAACCCTTTGACCTGTAACTATGGGCATGCAATATGTAAATGAGGATTTAGTTCTTTTTATTTTTGTACCTTGTCCACAGCACTTCCTACTTTCAGATCAGGCTGAATATTTTTGGTTATGTACCTGGATAATTTCTACTTGAAATTGACCCTATGGAGGCTTAACTTGAGGCTTGAAACATTGGGAAACTTTATAACTTTAGAAAAGTGCTGTTTTATACATTGGCTGTAATAGGTATCACCATCAAGGTGGTGTGTAGTTGTTGTTTTTTTCCTCTGTAAAAAGTTTAAATAGCAAATGAAATTCATTTACTGTTTTCATTAAACTCCTGCTAATAATTTAGGAATAAGATGCATTCCTAATAATAAAATAAGCTCTCATCAATTTCTGTATGTACTGTGTTTTGGTACAAGCTTCATGCAGTTTTTGTATACTTACTGTACAGCTTTTATATGCAACTTTTGTCTTGCATTTGTGAATGTGATTCATAATAAATACAGAAAACTAAACTGCTTCCATATGGATTTTGTAATATTTTATTTTCAAGAGATTTGAACATATTGTTGTAAGGGATGTAAATAACTAGCCAGTATCTAGTTTAAAACAGAATCAATAGTTAAATGGGAAAAAAGGTCAAATGGTCATATAACTCACTACTTAATGGAATAAACATTAATTCTTTTTTGTAGCCATCCACACTTACCTCAAAAGAATTGATTCTCTCATAAATGAGACTGGTTTAGCTATTAATAGAGAGAGGCATCACTATTGAGGAACAGGGATGGGGAGGGAAATATGACAACAGTAGTAAGGGCATCAAACAATTGTTTTGCTAACTTTTCTTGTTTATCACAGCTAGCAAAATGCCTTTCTATAGAGTATGAGACACATGTCTCCAGGAGACAGTGTAAATGAGGCAATAACAATATAACTTTAAGACTTCAGACTCTAGTTCAGAGAATGCAGCAGAAAACTTTTCATAATCTCTCACAGTAGAGCTAGCAGATGGATGCGTATGGTGTTTTGGAAGTATTATTGGAAATTCTTCCAAGCAGTGTTCTGCAGGTAAGTACTGTTGGGTGAGTATTACTTAAGTCTGTTTCTAGAAACATTATGGGCATGACTGGCTTTGTATTAGCTTTTCCAGGTCTGTGTGTAAGCAGGTGCTTATTCTTGTAATTGGATAAGAAAACAAGTATTTGGGTTAGAAGTACAGGGGCTGCAGGAACAAGCTTATTAAGAAGTTTTCCTGTTCTTTTTTGAAAAGCCTGAAGAAACTCCATGCATCTTAACTGTTTGCATTCATCCCTTTGGGTATAAGCAGCAAGTTAACAATATACTTGTGCCACAAATACGGTTAGCAGTGTCAGTCTAAAGTTAATCCTATATTTCAAGTGTCTGGATGCTAGTCTTCTAGGAGTGATTCAGACTGTACATTACTAATAACAAGTGTAGGACACTTAGCTTTCTAAGCTACTTCTAACTTTTCCTGGGATGAGTATGGCAGAAGGTAAGGTATGGGGGTACTTTAGAGAGTAACTGGTTCAGAGACATGAACTTTTCATAACGCCAGCCTACTTGATCAACAGTTTTTTTGCATCTGATGAAGTATGTTCTTCAAGGTAGGCTCTGCAGCTACAGAGGGGGTACTGTATCTGATTTTTGTGTACTGTACTTAACTTCATACATAGAGTCCTGTATCATTTTTATTTTCATTATATAATTATGCTCAATATTAAATTTTAATTAATAAGTGCTTTATTAATTAAATTAAAATTTGCAATACTACAGTTCTAAATTGTCTGCTTTTGTTAGTCCTTTGCTATGACTCTAATATAAAAGCTGTCACTTTGTTTGTGTGCATTTTTTTTCTTTTTTCATAGTAACATCTAATTCTTTGAAACTGACTTTTCATGTTCCAATGGGAATGATCTCTGGTCTGTTGCGTTCCTAAATATTTATATGCAGAGGCAATATATGCTTGCGTTCCAGTTACTGGTAAGTAGTCAAATCTAAATAGTTGTGAATAAAATAATAAAACTAATGTAAATGCCAGACTTCATTTAGATAACTGATGTAAAAAGCATCCCGAAACTACTTCCTGGAACAGAAATAACAAGTTCTAATTGTCTGGCTAGTAGCACTCACAACAGTGATATTCTGTATGTTTTCATATATTGAAGAGACTATGTGCGTTTTTTTTTGGCTTGAATTTCAGCTTTTTAAGAGTTAGCATTGCACTGAAGTAGTATTACCGTTCATGTATATGTTCTCACTGTAATATACTGCATCTCCTTTGATTAGCCTTTCACTCACTGTCGGTCTGTCTGGAATCTATTAAGGACCCAGCTGTATGCTTTCTTAAGAGTATGCCTGAATCATGCACTCTTAAAAGCTCATGAACTCCAGTGGTCTTCAGCTACTCAGGTAGTTTCCCTGACCACTTTTCTCCTTTTATCATTCCTGTACCTTCTGAAAACCTAGAAAGCTTGCTCACTAATTATGAGTTATTGTGAACCTTTGGAGGTCTATAGGGAAGGCGAACCTGGTACACAATTCAGATTAGTCCATCTGTATGGTAAACTAAATATTTAAACTTTGGGAATGTGAAAAGAAAAACCCCGACTGAAGTAAATTCTTCTATTTTGAACCTGTCCTAACACAAGCTGTAATAGTCCTCCAACAGTAACGAATTCCAGAGTTGTACCTGCTGCTTGCCAGCTTAAAATTGTTAACAGCAGAAATGTGTTCAGTTATTGGTTGTGGAAATAGAGAGATGTCATGGTGGGGATCTGCTATAGACCACCAGACCAGAAGGAAGTGGTGGGTGAGGCTTTCTTCAAACACTTAGTGGAAGTTTCCTGATCACTGGCCCTGGTTCTCATGTGGGACTTCAATCACCCTGACATCTGCTGGGAGGGCAATACAGCAGTGCGCAAGCAATCCTACAATTTCTACAGTTACCCTGTATTGCTCAGGCATGCAGGGATGAAGTCAGGAAGACCAAAGCTCAATTGGAGTTGCAGCTTGCGAGGGATGTGAAAGGTAACAAGAAGGGTTTTTACAAGTATGTTAATAGCAAGAAAGGGATCAGGGAAGTGGTAACCTAGTGACAGAGGATGCAGACAAGGCTGAAGTGCTCAATGCCTTTTTTGCTTCCAGCTTCACAGGCAAAGTCAGCTCCCAGACTACTGCACCAGGCGGCACTGTTTGGGGAGGAGGTGAGCAGCCAACAGTGGTGCAAGAACAGGTTAGGGACTATTTAGAAAAGCTGGATGTGTACAAGTCCATGGTGCCAGACAGGATGCACCCAAGGTAAGAGAGCTGCAACTGAGGGTTCTTCTCTACATGTGAATCCAATGGTAAAAGCTTATCCTTGGTTCTTTTGTAA